CAAGAATCAATTACAGGTCTCTCTCATCGTTTTAAGTGGGAGAACTTGCACAATTGGTGGCTGACTAAATACTTTTTTGCCCCACTGTAAGTGACTCAGCCCAAGAACTGAAGTAACACATTTTTTAGTGGATTGACCCAGAAGTAAAGCAAAAAGCAAGGTTCAAAGAACAATAACCTAGAGAAAGATATTCTCTTTCATTAATCTGATGTAAGGTGAAATCTCACTGGGTAATATGGGTTACAGCACATACCTTGCACTGCTTTATTAAGCTTAAACTAGAACCTCTGCAGATATGAGGTAGATGCAAAGGCATACTGTATGTGTGGCCCATGGGCTTCAAGGATACATTAAATTAATAAATTTGTCTTGAAGTATGTTAAAATGTATGTAAAGCTAAAATTGTTCCTTTCTGGTTTTGGATAGAATATGAAAGGAATAAAATACCAGTCTGTACCCCTACTGGGGAGATGACCCTTCCCTATTTGTCTTGTTCTCACCATTGTCACCAAAACAGAAAGTGATGGGAGTTTCATGATTTAAGCATACCTGAGCATTTTGTTGCACAATTCCCAAAGCACAACACTCAAGATGAAGAATATCATCTCAATGGGCCCCGGTGACACATGCATGGTGTTTTGTTGTGACACTTGTCCTTGTGTCGCTTGTTGGCTGTTGTATGAAGCTCAAAAAAAGTATATGAGCTTCTTTTTGGGCAGAATGTTGCATTTGTGAACTCTGATGGAAGTCCCTGAAAAATGTGAGTTTACACATTTTTTTTAGGTGCTCCCTTTTAAACTTAAAAGTCTATGAGCCAGAACCACATTATTCTGCTCCTGTACTGTGGACTCCTTCTCTAGCCTAAGCTAAAAAGACACATTTAGGCTGTACATGCGCATTTTTTTCTTTCTTGGTTTACTAGGTCCTACATTTTGTATGACAAATTATTCTACTACTTTACTTTACAGCCAGCATATACTACCCTACTGGATTTATTTGAGTCGGAATTAGGTTGTACTGTTTTACAATATTAATGCTTGCTCTGCATATGAAATAAGGGGGAAAAAAATGGCTTAAAGAAAAGTCCATCAGAAAGCATATGGTGACAGGCACTCTTGTTAGGAATGTTCAGCTAAAATTCCTAGAAACAAGCAAATCATGTCTGTAAATTGCAGGGTATGTTCAATCTTGCATCTGACTCCTCTGGAAGGGAAAAAAGACAGCTCTGGAATACACTTCTGAAGAGTACACTGATTTATAGGCAATCTGAGGATAGGATATCTGCAATTGAGCACCAGTGATTAACTTTAACACCATATCCTGCCTCTGCTTGCTTGTTCAACCATGTAAACGGCATTTAAGACTGAGCTTCTGGGAGCGTTCTATGTTTAGCGAGATCTACTTCACTCCTGATAAGAAGACTAAATACATAATATTGAATGAAACTTACTGCTCAAAAATGAAATCAGTACAGCTGTGGTGATTGATCTTCCTAGAGCAACTGAGATACCAGAATAATGCTGCCCATACACCTTACAACCATCGCACGACTTTCGTTATGCAATGGTTGTTAGGTAATTAAAATCTCGTACGATCTGCCCATCTTGGACAGGCTGATCGTACTTGCGATCATCGCAAGCCCTCCCCGCCGAGGGGAGGGCTTCCGATGATTCCAATGCTGAGCAGGTAGTGTGCGCTTGCGCACACCGGCCCGTTCGGCATTTGTATTCTGAGCACGCCACTAACCCGCCGAAAATCGCACGATTCTCTGCGGGTTTTTGAGCATGCTCGGAAGACAAAAGACGTGCGACCGTAAAGTAGAAACGTTTGCACGCCTTCCATACACCTGCCGATTATCGCACGATCGATGGATCACCCGCGCTTATCTTACGATAATCGGCAGGTGTATGGGCACCTTAAGTGTGGATTAGCAGGAAATCATTTAAGCTGGCCATACACCTTACAATTATCTGCAGATTTTCTATGGTCAGATGGAAAAAGTGCAACAAATTCCTCCATCTACGCTAAACTGTGTGGATGGAGGAATCTCCCTCTGGGCCAAGCTTCAGTATCTTGCTAGTCGGCCCCACTGGCTGTCAAAATACCTGAACAATCTGATTGGATGCAGGCATTAGTAAAATATTTTGAGAGCCAGTGGGGCCGACTAGCAAGATTACGGAAGCTTGGCCCAGGTGGAAATTCCTCCATCCACACAGTTAAGTGTAGATGGAGAAATCTGTTGCACCTTTTCCATATGACCACAGAAAATCTGCAGGTAATTGTAAAGCGTATGGGCACCTTTAGAGTGTTAGGTTATATGATGATAATTTATAACACCTGGAGGAAATCAACTGGAGGGAAAAGTAATATTGTTACCCAAAGACCTGAACCCTTGTCTCGTCTGATAAATGAAATGTGATTCGTTACTATGGGCAGCTGCTTCATGTTTCTCCAGCTTTTTAAAAGAAGAATATATCATCCATTAAAGGAGAACTATGAGATGAGTGCTTTTCACTCACCTCATAGTTCTAGCCGACCTGTGACAATGAGACTGTCACAGGTCGGCTCAGTAGATCGGGAGGTGAGCGAACATATACGGGTGTTCGCTCACCTCTCGATCCTGTCACGGCTCTCTGCCGTGACAGGGGGAGGGGCTGGATTCCCCTCTCCGATCTGCCAGCGCTGACTGGCGGAACGGACGGGGGAGGGGGCGGGTACAGCTGGCTCTGCCTCTAGATAGGCAGAGCCAGCTGTCACTCACGCAGCTGGGCGGATCTTGACGTCGATGTCGGGATCCGCTCCAGGTGCGGCGCCTCAGTATACCGCGAGCTGTAGCTCGCGGTATTCTGAGCTTAGGGTAACGGGAGGACGCTAGTTTGTGTCCTCCCGTTACCCTAAGGAGAACTATGAGGAAAAACACTGACCCCATAGTTCTCCTTTAAGATGAGGATTCCAGCTTTCCAGATAAGCAGAGGTAACAAAGTGACACAAATGATTACCAGCAACAAAAAGAGTGGAAATATTTCTTCCATTTGAGTGTCGAATTAAACTCTGTTAATAAAAAGAAGATTTTTTTAAATATTGTTGGGCATTAGAAGAAAGAAATTAAAGTCCCATAGGTCATTTAGATCCTTGGTTCTCAACTGGTGGGTCGTGAGTGGGTCGCCACATGCCTTCCACTTTTCAAGGTGAGAGGATCCTCAGACTCCTCCTAGAGAAGCACTGTCAGTTCTCATATCGAGCAGCCATTCAAAAATATGATGCCCGGTGCCGATTGTCGACATGGGGTCAGGTGGGGTGGGGTTATGTCCATGAGGGAGCGCCATCCATACCTGCATGGCTTACAGCTCATCATATTCTGGCTCCTGGCACCTCTACGGGCACGCAAGGGAGCTTTATAGGGTTGTACAGATACCAAGTACAGTACTCGGTACAAGTACATGTACCGATACTTTTGAGCTCCAAGACTAGACTAGAGAAAAACTCAGAAGTTAGGAGGCAGCTGTCATTTGTAAGGAACACACGGAGCTCCTGGGATTTGTACATCTCTGTTTTAATGTACGATTTAGTTTTTATAAATATAAATAAAGGGATGCACAGATACCAGTTTTGCGAGTACGAGTACTGGTACTTGCCGAGTACTTACAAGTACGAGTACTGAAACATTTTTGTTTATTGTCATGTGACAGTTTTTCTAAAACAATACAGACTAATGATTTCAGGCCAGTGGTGGAGTGCCAGGCCAGGTCCCAGCTGCAACCGCTGCAACCCTGATAGTTCTCATGAAAATGCCAAATATCTGCACTGGTACTCGAAAAAAGTATCTGTGCATCCCTAGAGCTTTACAAGCAGTGCACATATGGATGGAGCTCCATCACAGCACAGCAGCCCACACAGGACCCCAGGTTGAGGATCCACTCCAGTTTCCGTAATGGCAACCCATACGCACCTCCCACCCACAGTTCGATCACCTGCATCGGAAACCACAACATGGAACATTGCAGTGCAACTTGGGTCGCGACTTAATGACTGAGGACAAATGTGGGTCCCGAGTTTACACAGGTTGAGAACCACTGATTTAGATTATGCCCATTAATCCAACATGCCTGTGTATGATCAGATCAAGTCTGTCATTTCTAGCTACATCACTGCAAGACATAAAAAGGGATTTTTTGGGGGGGCAGGTGAAAAAAATAAATTGTTGGGAATTAGAGGAAAGAAATTACAATCCCATAAGGGCTCAGTGATCATTTGAAGAATGCCCATTAATCTGACATGCCTGTGTATGACCAGATCAAGCCATGAGCTCTGTCATTTCTAGCTACATCACTGCATAAAACATTTTTGTTTTTTTTTGGGCAGGTGATAAAAAATAATTCTTGGGAATTAGACAAAAGAAATTAAAGTTCCATGGGGACTCATTGATTATTTGGAGAATGGCCATTAACCAGACATGCCTGTGTATGACCAGAGCAAGTTACAAGCTCAGTCATTTCTAGTTACATCTCTGCAAGACAGTTAGTATGTGAATCCTGGATGGGGTCCGTACTATGCAGGGATTTCGAGTTCCAAAATTTGTATATTGGTTGAGGTAAAGGGCAAAGTAACCCACAGCAATACAACATTTGTTTTTGTGCTGACTGCTCTGAACTGGTGAAAGGTGGAATGTCAATGGTTGCTGTACGCCACTCTACTTTGCATAACCATCCATGCTCTTTGAATTGTCTTATTGACTTATAGATGAGTCTACTTATTATGTCTTATTAAAAGCCTGCCAGAGATAAGTTTTTGTAATACAGAATTTTTATTCACTCACATACAAGCACATAGATTTAACAAAATATGTTTTCAACCTAATCGACTATGAAACTATGTAATTAATGGTATGATCTATATTGATTGGATAATTGTGTGAGCAATGGAGAAAAAAACCACAGGTAGTAAAAGCAAACTAATTAATTGTAGTCTAATGCAAAAAAGTATTCGGTTCTTACTTACCTAACCCCTGTGCTCAATAATAGATTGTAGATGCTGTGCAGATCCTGCAATGGCACTAAAGCATAGATGGGGCTGCAGAGGCTTATATAAAGCACACACTCACACACATACACACGCACAGTACGCTCAGCCCCTCCTCTTTCCCACAGACCACACAGCTGGACACGGAACAGACCCTGAGGCTGCAGCTCCAAGTAACAGAGACTGGAGGTGGACAAAAAAACACAACATGAAGACATTGAATTAAATACAAATATACAATGCTGAACCACAGGAGTCCTACAATTTGCTCCAAAAAATACAGGATTGCATCACACAGTGACAGCAAACAAAAAAAGTATACCAAAAAGAAAACATGAAACACCTGCAAAAAAAATACAGTGATGGCAAGATAGGATTAATGTATTAGTGAATTCACAATCATTGCCAATCAACAGAAGGAATATCCTAGAACTGGAAAAAATCCAGCGAAGGACAACACAACTATTAAGGGGCTGGAGGACCTCAGCTATGAGGAACAATTAAAGTGACACTAAACTTAGTTCAATCTTAAAAATGCATTCAAGTTCCATAACTATTTGCAGGCTTTGTTTATATTTACACACCAGCAAACCTTAATCCTCGAATAAAATATTTAAAAAAGATTACCGATCATAGATTCACAATTCCTATATCAGAACTGATCTTTGTCTTGTGCAGAATAGAACTTTGAGTCTCACATAGGTACCATACAGCACTCAGACTATACTCCCGTATTTATAACAATATGATAAGCCCAAAAATGCAAGATCTGAAACTTGAATGCTTCTTCTCTTTTGAAGGATAAAATATAGTAAGTTGATATCTTTATGAATAACTATTTGCATTAAAATAAGGTTTCTACTCCCATGATATGAAAGCTCATAAAATAATCTAGTAACAAGAGGTATTCTCATGGGTATTCTCTGGGGTACAATTACTTGGGAAAAGAAAAATTGCACAAATTAACTTAAAATATTATATTAAAAAAATATTCGCAAACTTCATAACTTGAATAAAGAATCACTGACTATGTCTGCTGGAAAAAAACTGATACATTTAACAAAAGGATATAAAAACTTATTGGACAAAATCTCACAAAAAAATGTTGTCACATTATTAACACAAAGCTTTACAAAGAAGGTAACAAATGTAAACTATTTTTGGCTAACCTGATTAAAAACTTGAATACCCAAGAATATATCCCTCTAAAAAAGATCAACACATGCCAAACATTATAAAAACATTTTATAATTTTTATCAGGACTTCTACAATTTGAGTTCAGAGCAAAAAAGAATCTTGGGAGGAGGAAGATATAAATTAATGAATATTTAAAGAGTATTAACCCTTTTCCTGCCAGCGCCAGGGGGGCAACTGTAAACAGACTCCTGGCACTTATAGCTTTACACTGGTAGCTATTCTGGCAGCTGAGCTGCTGTTAAATCGCTTCCAGGGGCCAGTGAGCAGGGTCCTCTGGCCATGCTTTCCAGACTCCACTGACCCTTCTGTGGGCAAAGCACCAGCGGTGTTGGCGAGTAGTGGGGAGTGAGAGCAGCAAACATCTGTCTCCTTCCCACTAAATGGAGCCAGAAGCGACACTGATTGCATCACTTCTTGCTCCTCCAATGTCATTCCCTGGCTAGAGAAGCCAGGGAAGAAGCAGCTATTCAAGCAAGATCTGTGCTTGAATAGGTTCTTTGAAGTGAAGAGGCGACACAATTTTTAAGCTTGGCATGTTGGGTATCTCTTTACTCAGCACAACCTCATCTTTTATACTTTACAAAAAAATTGGGTATTATATTGTGTTTTTGTGCACTAAAATTAACTTAAGTGTAATTTTTACTAAAATCTTGTTGTGCTAATACCATGCGATGTAAAAATTTGCAACTGCGACATTTTATTCTAGAGGGTCTCCGCTTTCAGGAAATATATCATTATCGGCGGTGGGGTGGGGGTATTCAGTTTCAGGCCTAAAATGTGGATGATAACATGTATGCAAAAAAAAAAAAAAAACGCATTGGCAGCAGAAAGGTTACACTGACTAAGATTTCTAATAAATATAAAAATAGAATAGCATGAGAATTTACTGAGAAATAAATACGTGAAGCAATTTTCTCCTTCCCTAACAAAAAATCTCCAGACCCTAATGGTCTGGATTTCAAAACATTTTATTGAATATCAGTAAGACATTATTGCAAAATGTATAATTCCATAAACCCCTAAACAAATTTACTTTCACAATCTTTGATGGTTTTTGATGGCAAAACATATACAAAGCATATGCAGATGAGATGTTGTTTTATTTAAATTACCCTTCAATTTGAATCCCTAACCTAAAGAATTGGAAACATTTGGTATAGTGTCAGATTTGAAAGGTAATAAGGTTAAATGTACTGTAAATGATTGAATATAAATATAGTTCAAAAATAATTGCAGCTTATAAATTCTTAATTTGAAGGAAAAAAACCCTACATAAAATATTATATTTATCTAAAGTAAATTCCACTACCCTTATAAACTTAAATTCATCCCTTTAATAAATCATTTTAGCAACTAGTCTTCAATACCCCTCTCTCTAGGTAGGAAGATCAATGTCATTAAAATTATTCTGGTACCTGAATTACTGTTTAGATTCCAAGCCTGACCTTTTAAGGTTCCATCAGTATTACTCAAACTCCCCAAAATTATTTTGAGTTTTATTTTGAATTAAAAAATTCACAGAATTAATCTTAATGTCTTTTGCTGATACAAAATGAAAAGACTTTACTTACCAGGTCTTGACTTACCTGATTTACATTTTGAACAAGGCCATAATGTTTATATATTGGCCTGCTGGAGTATATAAGTCGCCCTGATAAACAATGGATTGGATTGGAAATAATTTTCTCAATACTGGATTGCACAATACAATCTAGTTAGATTCTGCCAGGTTTTGAAGACTTAATGGGCAAAGCACAGATTTGCCTTAAAGCATATCTAAAGTAAACCAAAAGACCTTAGTTGCCTACAAGTCAATTTAATTTTCCTTCAGAGAGCCCTGTAAACTCTAAATGGCTCAGGTGCTCTGAATTTCAATTTTGACCAGCTCCTGTGGTCAACATAACAGTCCCACCCACTTCCTTTCTCTATTAGCCAGTGAAGCCCCCATCATGGTGATTGGTCAATAGTGATGTTCCAAACGTGGAAAAAACCCTGTTTTTCCCTCTAAAAAGTTCCTTCCATGCCTTCCTTTTTTTTTTAATAGCTGCTATGACATTTGAATGATGCTGTGGAAGGGAATGGCAAAGATTTCACCACGTGGCAACTTTCTGGTTTACTTTCACCAACAATCAAAGAGGCGGCACATCCTCCAGACAATTTCTGGAGCAGTGAGGAGGACCGAGATAAGGAATCAGAGAACGCCTCTTGTCAGTGCCTTACAATACCTACTATTTTCCATCAACTATTTACTATGTCCCTCCAAGACAGCAAAGCTGCGTGTGCAAACAATCCAGTCTTGTAAAGAACTGAACCATGTTTCTGTAACACTACTGCTTTACAGTTTTACATTTTTATGACACAGCACAGCCTTGTCTGAATGGGCAGGAGACCTAATTTTTCTCTGCTGGGCTTAAGTAACACTTATAGGTCTTGTCCCTCCCCCAGCCTGTGACTGGACAGTAAAAGAAGAAGCAGGAGACTGATGAGGTCCTCTCTGCTCTCTCTCCTCCTATAAGCATCGTGAGCCTTATTGATTGGCTCCCTGTGCTGCGTCTTCTTCTTTCTCTCAGCTTTAAATCGGCAAGCCACTAAAAAGAGTCAGCAAGCATATTATGTATGAAAGCAGAAAAATGTGTCCAGGAGGTGTTTCCATAGAGATCAGCCTGAATAATGTGTTCCTTTTCTAAGCTGTTGAGAAAAAACAATACCTCCCAGTATTTAACAGAAATCATCCCATCACCACCTAGATCCACCCAACCACCCAAAATGTTACCAAAACCACTTCTATTCCCTGTTTGTACTATCCGTCCATTCCAGGCCACAAAATTGCCCTCAAAGGGGATCCTGAAAAAAATGCAGCAGGAATCTGATTGGCTTTTTTCTGTATTCACTTACCCCCCTTTCTTATCCCTCGTTTTACACATAAGGATTGTGTTAGCTTTACACATATCAAAAGATAGAAGCAGCACCGCTACACGTGACAGCCTGACCCAGAACTCCATGTAACTTGTACTTTGGAATGCCATTTACTCTCCAGAGTCTCTCATTTGTATGACAGAAGACTGTAAGTGGTGCCTTCCCACCACAACAGAAAAACATTGTGGTTAGGGAGATTTATTTAGTATGCTGGAGAAGCTGACACATGCCACATGAATGGAACTATCCATATCTACTTACAAGACGAAATGGTGCAAAGTGGAACACATGTCTACAGCACTGATCGTCAAACCAAAATTTGACGATGACAATGACACATTTATCACAACAATAGGACAGTGCACTACAGCATTAATAGACTGAGGAATTGACTAATGACTATCAAGTTCAAGTTCTTAGCCCAAATCAGGGGTGGGCAACTCCGGCCCTCAAGCAATGCTTTAACAACAAATCGCAACATGCCTCTGCCTCCGGGAGCCTTGCCTGTAACTGACAGTCTTGCTATGCCTCATGGGACTTGTAGTTCCACAACTGCTGAAGGCAGTTACCTTGGGAGGCATCTCATTGGTCACGTGTGCCTGCTGCCCCCTTTCTGGCCAGAGTGTCCAAGGCTGCTAGGAGCTCTTAGCAACCTGTGATGCTCTGGCTAGCATTCCATCCAGCTTACTGACATCACTGGTTGCCAGTGGAACACTCTGGCTGGTGTCCCGCCCAGCTCCTGGCAACCAGTGATGTCATTGAGCTGGGCAGGATGCTGGACAGAGCCGGAACCAGAGCTACTGTGCACCCATCACCGCCCCCCCCCACCTGGTAACATGCGCTGCCAGCCCCCCGGTAACATGCACCACCAATCCTAACCCCC